GCCTGCAGGTGCTCAGGACGAGAGCATGGAGGATGGCTCTGATCCAGTGCCCCCAGGTGCTCAGGACGAGAGCACTCATCACGGAGAAGACGGAGGAGCATCAGGTGAGAATGCCGAGGGGGAAAGAGAAAATTCTGTTCACGGTGGAACCTCTTCAAGCGCTTCTCTTGTCGGTGAAGAACCCAGATCTCCTACTGATTCTTCATCTAATGGGTCATCTGAACCTGCACGATCTAACGGTTCACCTTCTGGACGGAATAATGCCAATCTAGGGTCTCCCAGACGGGCATCTCGAGTAGAGAAAAGGTGTCTCTGTTATGGAAAAATGCCTACGGCGCTTCGGCATTGTATTCGGAACACGCCTCCAGGATCACAGAGGGAGTCTTTAAAGACATTATTCAACGTGCTTAAGCTGCAATACAAGTTAGCTTCGGTCTGTGGCAAGCATCTTCGCAGACTTGGGCGGGGACTGGGTTTGAGGACAAATCTGCCAAGTGATGTGTTGCGAGAGCGGATAGAGAAGGTGTATCAGCAACGGGCAGATCTAAGGCCCTTAATGACGAGAGAATCAACCTACTGGTGGTTCAGACACGACACTAGACCCTTGAAATACCCACATATTGACCTGGAAAAGTTTTCCTTTGACGCGAGGGCCGTACTAAGTCGCTATACCGGTCTTAATGTTGACGATCTACTAACCACATGGAGTGTAGATGGCTCCATCGTACTTTCTGGGTTATTTGATTGGTGGTGGCAGTCTGAGGATGTCATCGCCGTCGTTCATGAGGAATTCGAGATGTATCACCATCATTTGCAGTCGCTCAAAAGAAGAAACGATTCTGGGTGGCTGAGAAATATGTTTCACTCGCTCGTACAGCAGCTCATGCGGCAGGATCCCGTCTATTATGCTGTGCATTGCGCCCTTAGACCCGATCATGCCTGGCGATTGGTTAGTTATCCTTATTATACCAGAGACGCATGCCCAGACGACTCCACCCTTCCCCGACATATTGACCTTGACGTTTCTCATTGGATGGAGACTGGCGAAGGAGATAATATGATACAGGGCGGTCTGTCTATCGATGATGAAGACGATTCGAGTACGACAGAGGTTCTTTTGGGTATGCACTCGCATCTGAAGGCGTGGTGGAAGCTTGTTGAGGAGCGCGGATTGGGAGGAAACGGTCCAAACAGCCACGTGACCGATCAGATGTATACGGAAGAGGATATGGCTAGATTTGAATGCCAATGGACCTCTCAGCCCTGCAAAGCTGGCGATGTTCGATTTATGTCGGCTCTTCTCCCTCATGGCGGTACGGGACCTGCCACCAAGCGCCAACGTACATTGTTCCCTTGTTTTGTTGCAGTGGCTGACGATCACCAGAAGTTGGACATAGAAGGATCTGGGACGTGGGCTGACGTGGCCGCGGCACATCGAGATCTTATTAGGGTGCTACATTTGCCGTCCGGCGACGCCCCGGTCCATGCGACCCTCCCTATTCGATTTCCTCCTGCCGCTGAACTTATGGATCTTAGCGCTCTGTCTGACGCTTTAGTTGGACGTCGTCGGTGGACGTCACCGGCGGTTATCTGGGAACGCAATGTCGTGCTTGGAGATGATGACGATGCCGCCTTAGCTTTCGTGCAAGGTTGGAGGAAGAATGCGATTAAGAATCTATTGATCACCTGGGATCTCATTCGATACGCTGAGCGCGCATTCTTCGGAGAAAACTCTTATTTTTATCATCGCGATCGTAAGTCCGAAGATTTCAGTATGGCTGGATGAAGCACATAGGACGTTGAGAGTCAGGAGAATGTTGACCCATCCCATCGACTATAAGACAATTTCTGGGGAGTATGAGAATCATCAAAGTAAAAGTTTTGCAGTCAGTACTTTGAACCGTTATCGAAAATAGATAGAGCTGGCCGTAGTTTGCAAGCCGGCGACCATGGCCTGAAAGCATTAAGAGAAATAAAAGAAGATATCCACCAATCAATGCATGAGTTTGAAAGTGATACAATTGCTTGATATCTCCTGTATCAAGACTGGGGCTTCCATCATCAGTCTATGTAACGGGAATTTGGACGACAGATTCTAAGATTATAAAGTTAGCCTATCGATCATGCATCTGGGGTAGAAAACTTGCCGCTTCCCGGTTCTATCCGACTTCGTGTATGGGAATGATGATGGTCTCTGTCTAGAATCCACCATGGTGGGTTGGGATGACCGTCTGGCTGTTTCTATCATAAACATATCAGTTTCTTCCACCGCTGAAAGATTGCCGTCCTCCTCGTCTTCTATGTCCTCGTGGTCGAGAGGTACATCATCAATATCTATGAAATCATCTTCATCATCACTGATGAAGTGTTTCTCAGAGAGATCTGCACCACTTGTTTGCCCCTGTGGGCTTTCTTCTTCCCCATCATCCATAAGGTCATCTATCTCACAAGCTGGATGCGCCATCTCCCGCTCCTCTTCCATATCCTTGACGTCATGAAATCTGACCAACATCAACTCGCGAATCGTAGTGGGGCTTAATTGAGCTCTTCGATATCCACAGGTGTCGCGTGCAACATTAAAAAGCCGCTCCACGCCTACCCCTGCAGCTGGGACCGCCAGCAAATCTCGAGCCATGCGAGCAAGTACAGGAAACTCGTGCTCTTTCTTCTTCCAGTAATCAAGTGGCGCCATCTTAGGGTCGGCACATTCTAGAAAGTAGTCAGCATTGATCAGACTGAGCCTGGGAGCAATTTACCCTCCTCTAAGTATCTCGTGATCTCCCCTCCTTCATCACGGACCGTACCTCGCCTTCTCTTGTTCCGCTGTAGAAGTGCAGAGAGGTCACGCTCTACGGACATGCTACGCTGGAACGATCGATTTGGAGAGACCATTGAGCCACCATATTCTTTGGTGTACAAGTCTTCGAGGTCCTGGCGATATCGATCCTTCCACTCCTTCCAATACCCAGATCCGTAATATGAAAGTTTATATTTAGGGTCCAATATGGTAGAGATGGAATATATCTTGCCACGTTCATCGTATGTTCTGGAGAAATAACATCTCAGTTTCTCCCGAGCGGCTTCGAGGGCTGGAACTATACATCTTTTCCAAGCGTCTCTCTTCTGACCAAGTCTTCGGATGTTTTCTTCGATATGACTGAAAAGAGTGTCGTATACGGGAAACGCCTCATGAATGGTCGGACCTTTCGTCCGGCCGAGCGCCTGGGTTAGCTCAGCAAATGGCTTAGCAATATCTATCATATAACCAACATGTCTCCAGTCCTGTGATTTCAAGCGGAGAGCATTGATGTGAGGCTCGGCCCCGTGGCGTCTGAACCATGCATCCAATGGATCCTTCAAAACCATTGCGCGCCTGAGCATATCATAAGTGGAGTTCCACCTCGTCCTGACGTCAAGAATAGGATTCAGTTTTTGACCGGATTGCTTCTGGAACTCATATAGCGTTTGCATCCGTTGTGGGCTGGCCCGGAAATATCGAGATATCTTTCGAATCTGGTACTCGTCAGCGGCGGTCGGGTCCAAAGAGGTACTAAGCGTTGACCTGAACTATTGTCTTTGCGATGCCTTCCAAATCATTGAGCTCATCCAGAGCCAGATCTTCATTATAGATCGAGTCGGCCTCATCCCCACCCAATGGGATCTTGATTTCCATAAAAAGAGTTCTCACCACCAACTGAATAACGTGTGATAAGCAGGGAAGATGGCCACGTGCTGCCACGAAGCCATAGTCATTGCACTCCTCGAGTTCCCTGGCGAGAACACCATTGTTGCTCGCATTATCCGTCGTAAAAGCCAGGATACGCCCCTCTAACTTGTGTTCATCCAAGACGGGAAAGAGACTTCTTCCTAGGTTGATACCAGAATGGTCGCCCGTTATATGTTGAAAGCCGAGCAACCGTTCATTATATTTCCAGTCTTTATCAATGAAGTATGCTAGAATGGCCATGAACGAGAGCCGATTCGGGCTCGTCCAACAATCCAAGGCGATTGAGACCTTCGAACCCGGGACGACTGTTTCAAGGGCCGCCTCGAGAACCGAATTGAGCCTCGTGGCAAGAATGCTTCGAATCCTTTTGGCAGATGGCAGGGTACATTCTGGCCGGGCCAGCCGCAAGAGACGTCGGAATCGTATATTTTCGACGGTCCGAAACGAGGTTCCAGTGGCAATAATATACTGCATTATCGTCAATTCCCAGTTTCGTTGGTCGTAGGCGGGCAGATTGGATAGCTGCGAGCGTGACTATGTGCTTTGGTCAGCAATCGTCGGTCACAGACGCGTCTGCATTGGCGTACCTTAGTGTTGAAGACGAGAGCACGCTGCCTTCCAGCTTTTGATGTCGCACGTTTCGCACAAGTCTTATTAGCTTCAATATGTCTCTGCATCGTAGAAATGCCGTTGTTTCCACATTTAGGATGTTTCAATATGCCTCCACATGATTTGCAAATAACGCACGGCGCGCCGGTCCTGAAATCTGCTGCCTGTTCAAAATGCTTCCAGGCTTCCGCCTTTCGGTTTGAAGAATCCCACGCGATGTTACAGGGGATTCTCGTGGCTCTGTTATTGCACGCCCATTTTGTGGTCTTCCACCACTCCAGGAAGGTCGTTGCACCCTCTGCCGACCACTGGATATAGGACCCATTTTTCACATAGTGTAAACCAGCGATGTTGGGTCTGGAAGGTGTAGATTCAACGCTACTAGATTGTGTGGAGGACGATGATGCATCAGTGCCAATCCGGCTACCAGGCTCTTCATCGCTGATGGGGCTCGTTTGAGACATTTCACTTGAGAAAGACATTGTTAAAAATGGTGCCAATAGTGAAAGAATGTACGAGAAATTGCGGTGATATTTGCAGTGATAATTCAGCACAGCTTGTTAGATTAAATAGTATTATGGA